CTTCAGGAAGCATTTCCAAACTATTGTGGATTTTAATAAATTTGTTAACATGCTTCTAATAAAACCGTTAGCGAACCTGTGTTGGGCTCCAGTCCACTTTGGCTTTTTAGATTACTTTGGCCTCAAGATTTGTAATCAATGTAAATTTCCAAATACTTGCCATATTAGGATTCAATGTATCACTACATATGTATTGATGAATGGAAATCAGGAAAACACATTTCTATAAAAACCGATCTAGAAAAAGTGCTTCCTAAAAAAACAATCTCAATCGAGCCTCAAAATTTACCAAAAAACTAATGAATCTTATCGATGGCCTCGTGTAACATTCGGATAATGAACAGTGTCGTTTTATTTTGTTTTCTTGTGTTCTTTGTTGTTAGCACACAGAGCGCGTAGTACAAAGAACAGCGACGTGCACTGGTGGACTTGACACAGACTGTTTTTGCAAAGTCTAAACCTACTCATTTCATCATGACATCAGGCATCTCATTTAATCACCAGTACAAACTAGAAAGACAGAAATCAAGAAGGGCTTTCCCTTTCAGTTTGCAGAGATGAGGTAATGGGGGGAAGGAAGAGGTCTTTTTTACGTATGGCATCAAGCAAAGTAAATATATATATATATATTTAAAATTAACTGTGGTCAAGATGAGCATCTTGTAACCCTACCAACCCCCGAGAGGAAAAAGGACACACCTTAACGGGTGAGACAACGACCCGATGGGTTCACTCGTGGACTGCCAGTCACTGATTTGCCTTGTAATGGACGGGTCATCGATAGTACTATTTGCTCTATATTTCTCAATTAAGAAAAAATTACAGTCAATTAACTTCTAATTACTTTCACTGTCACTTCTTCATGTTTTCTATATCAAAATGAAGTCTACAATCATCAAGAGCAGCAAAGTGTTTGACTAAATAGACAGTTATGAGAACTAATTAATCAAATGATACATCGGTATCGCAAAATTTATAATCAGCGATAATTTTTAATTTCGTGCATGACAATCATAACGTGCTATAAATGGGAAATTATTTGGTGTGACAGTAATATTATATTGCAAATGAGAGAGTTATTTGGGAGAGAGCAATCAAAGAACCAAGCTCGTTAATATTTTGTGGCCACTAATTAAATGAACAAAATTCTGATAAAATCAAGAGTTGTTGAGCAATTGACTATAATGTAGTACTCTCTAATGGTGGACCCATGAGGCCTCTGCGGGATTTGTACGTAAACATGTTCTAGAAGCCCACCTACTCACCGCGACCAAATTCTTGGCAAGTAGTTCTAGGTTCTTTGTCTTTGTTGAGAAACACGATACTGTTTTGGGATGAACTCTCAGAATACATGCATTCTTTTACTTGTTGCTTTTCACGTTTTGTCGCCAAGACTCTAAAACCCACTAATTCAACATCACATTTTGCATTAATAAGATAAGAAAAAAGTGGTCTCAAGACCTTAACGATTGACTTAGAAAATTGGACCCTTAATTTAACATATATATATATATATATATATATATATATATATATAACTTCTGTGCATGCATATATGCGTGTATGCCTGTGTCTTTCATATATGTGTGTATGCGTGTGTGTTTCTGCGCATGCACTTGGTGAATTTAAAGTCCCATTCCCACTACAAATTTCTGTGGGAACATACATGGGGCTATAAACATATATTCGTACGTGTGTACGTACCAATCTACGCATTTTTGAGGTAAGTAACATTTTGACTTGGTGTCAAAAGTTGGGAAAATGGCTACGTACTGCACTTACTGTGTGGATATATGAACCGAACCAATATCTTTATTTCACTTTTGTTTATCTTTCAGTTAGCAAAGCAATGTTGATTGATGCTTGTCAAGTCGGTATAGTTTTTCCAACACTAGTGATGATGGTTTATAGCCTCAGAGAAGTCTTAGAGGACAAGTTATTTGCCGTGGTTGCGGGGAACTTCGTCTATAAAATTAAATTTAGAAGGAAAAAAAAAAGAAGCTATCAACTTCAAAAGTGAACGTCAGGTTTGACCGTAAACACAATGGTTTTTAATAATTTTCTTGTGCTAGTTGAGAATTTTTGTTTTTTTTCCGTTAATTACCATGAGATTATTATAAAATTCAAAAAGATTCAAATAATCGCATCTTTAGTTCAGAAACCGAATATTTGGTTTTTCAAAGATCACGAAAAGCCATGGCATGCGTTGTACATGAATAGATTAGGTTATGATGAAGAACTGTCGGTCACTTCATCACGACACTATTATTTCTATCTTTGGCATGACTAAGATCGTGTCTCTAGGCACAGGATGAACATGTGATCAAGTCTGTGAGGAGTTGTCAAAGCCCTATAAACCTAATTTCCCTACCTATTTTAGGTTAAACTTGAATACGTGCTAAACCCTTTTTAAGAACTTCCTGCTGTATTGGGACACATATTTTGTTGTATATAACATCCTTCTCACAATATGTAAGCGGATGCCTACCACTTAAAAGTAAGAGAGAAAACTAACGCGTCCAATACTTTTTCTTTTTTCTTCTGAAGAGTTCAGCATAAACATATAGATGCCAGATTTGTCAGCTCCAACATAGGCATGGGAAAATAGTCTGGTGCTGCTTCTAATTTAAAGAATATTCGATCATCAACTAGTAAATTCCCAGAATAAAGTTCAAAATGTTCACATGATTTTATTAGTATGCAAAATTGAATAGCACACTGCCACACTTTTCGTTTCGTAAATAAGGAATTATACAGTAGCCAACCATGGAAGAGAAATTGAAGCCACCAATTTCATTACACATATAGCAATTTAATTATGCATATCATGGTTTTTTAAAGCAATTTTTACTCGAAGCCTGTCATACAATAATTTTTGTGGATAATAATGTATTTATATTATTGGATATATACGCGTCAACGGGGTCTAGCCTAGTGGGGTTTCAGATTTGAATCCCCATGACATCTTGGTAGCGTGTGAATGAGAAATCCCCCTAGTAGTGACTATCGCTTCTATTAAAACAAAAAAAAAAACTATTGGACATATAACTCATCACCCTACATATATAAAAAGGAAGGTTTTCGCAGGTGAGTTCAGATTAAAAAATGGGAAGTTTCCAGCCAATTGATTAAGGAAAAACGGTGGTAGGGTTGGCGCAAAGTCATAATACTTAAGATCTAATAATGTGTAACCAAGAAAAATTATAGTCTAAGTTATCATATATTGAGGCAATTATATCCATCACAAGACATTAAATACTTTTCGTTGATGGAATCTTAACTTGTTAAAGCTAAATTGTCAAAATTGTTTTTTTCTCTTTCGTTTTATTTGTTTGTTATTTATCGACTCAGGCACAAAAGAATAATTAAGGATATTATTGTTTTTGTAATAAACCATCACTTTTTATTTTTCTTCCTTCCAATCTGACGTAAAGCATTTGGGTGTCATCATCATTTTGACGAAGAAAAAAAAAATGCTTCTATTTTGTACAGTACGGTAACAAAAATGTAGGGTTGAAATTTGAAAGCAATTTCTGGATCTAGAAGAATTGGAAGCTATATAATCTAGCTCAGAGCAGTAGGAGTCTAGGTATTCAAATCCACCTACCTCATCCTCATGAAGCCTTAGAAACTCGTAATTCACCAATTCCTTTCTGAAATAGAAACCTTTCTTGTTTTAGTTTCTCAACTCCACTTCACCAATCAAAATACGAAACAATTCAACAAAAAAAAAACAAGAATATCCGATTTCCCATCGTTTTCTTTCATTTCTATTTGGGAATCATTTTCTTTGTTTTAGTAGCGGTCAATGCATTTTTACATTTTGATCTTATAATTGAAAAAAAAAAAAATCACTATAAGAAGGTAGTAGATGCATATTCTGTTGGAACTCATTGTTGTCCCACATCAGCCAGAGGGCCAAAGAGAAAGT